AGCCTAGTGCACAGCAAATGGCTAGACAAATTACAGCTATTTTTAAAGCTCTTGAGCTATGTTTTCAATTTATCAATTATGTCTGTCAAAATGAGCTCATTCATGAAAGAAGCCACTTTACAAGCAATTTCTAGAGATTTTTTTAATAAAAAAGGAAATTGCCATTTGTGATTAAAAATGTATATATTTTCTTCTATAAGCAGTTGCTGAAAGACAAGGATGAAGACTAAATGATTCCCAGGAAGAAAAGGTCCAGGGTATTCCTCTATGTTTTCTTACTCAATTGTGCCATATTTCTCTCTCTCTCCCTCTATCTCTCTGTCTGTCTCTGTCTCTGTCTCTGTCTGTCTCTGTCTCTGTCTCTCTCTCTCACACACACACGCACACACACACACACACACACACACACACACACACACACAAAGAGACAACTCATGATCTCACTCATATACTCTACATGCTTCATGAAAACTTAAACACTTCTTTTTCTACTAGATGCAGTTCAGGATTTCAGAAGGTTTGTGTGAGATCTTGTTCATTTTTTCCCATAGTTAAAAATAAAAACCATTCTACTAACTGAGATAATGAGTAAGCTTTCCACTGCCTATGAGATTCAGCAGTTTGGTGGCTCATCACATGGCTAGTTTTTCATTCCAAGGTGCCCTCCCTCAGATTTTATAGAATTTGGTAAAAACACTGAAGTGGGAATAAAAGAGCCATCTGACTTTTTTTTTTGTGACCGGTAAGGGGATTGGAACCCTTGGCTTGGTGTCGCCCGCACCGCGCTCAGCCAGTGAGCGCACCGGCCATCCCTATATAGGATCCGAATCTGTGACCTCGGCGGTCCCAGCGCCACACTCTCCCGAGTGAGCCACGGGTTTGGCCCAAGAGCCATCTGACTTTAACAGTAGATATATAATAGTTACTTAATTTCACTGGATATCAGTTTCCTCTTCTGACAAAAAATAAATATTTTCCGAGATTCTCTTGGCTTTAGAAATCTATAACATCTACTAACATCTACACAAACTATTTTTTCTCCACTCTCCTATAACTCTGGGTGATTTATTATGGAAAGTGAAAATATTAAATGACAGATATTTGGTAACAAATCATTATAAAGGTAACAGAAAAATGTATGTAAAAAACTCTTCCCCATTGCAAAATCAAGTACAAATTGCTTTTGAATGATGGTGTGCTTCAGACATGCAACCTGATCACACTGATAAATAAGAACACTGATGTGCCCATCAAACAGATGGACTGGAGTTGGGCATAAGTTCTGAAGCTGCAGAACTGAGAGTTCAGTTGGCAGGTTGCCCAGACCTGGGGCAGAGCCAGGACAGCTGCCCAAAGAGGCTGTCCCCTGAGAGAGAAGCTGCTGCTCAGAGCCTCTGCTCTGGGCCGAGCAGCTGGGCCCCTCTGCCCGGGACCAGATGTAAGTCATCTGCTTCCATTTCAGCTTTCAGCCTTCTTTCTCAGATACTGGGATTTGCAAAACCCCATTTATTTTAGGAGTCTCTATCTCCAAATTGCTGATGTGGGAGTTTGGGTGAGTTTATCTCATTCCTGGACCAAAGTCTCAAAAGTGGGAAGAGAAAGTGGGTGGAATCGTAAGGGAGAAAGTGGTGGTTCAACTCATCAAGTGTTTTCTGAACTTTTTCCTGGCAGGAAAGGGTCCACTGAGGTCACCTTCTTTTCTCTATGTTCTGGGTGTTAAGGATTCCAAGAAACGGGATTCTCTAACTTTTGTAGCACACCCATTCTTCTGAATCACTCTACTCAATGCAGGAAAGTTCTTTCTTCTGTCTGGCTGTTTCTTCCCTATTTGAAAGTCCAGTGAAACTGAACAGCAATCTGTTTTAGGCCTCTGCAGATGGTGTTCTTTCAGAGATCTGGACTATAATTCTATTCAGATTACATTTTATTGGGTTCCTTCTAAGTGCCAGAAATGAGCTAGATCTGGGCTGGGGGTGGGGGATACAAAGGAAAACAATAAAAATACTATCCCTTAGAGGGCTTACTCTCCAGTGTGATCACATAATTCTGGGAAATACAGGGTTAACAAAAGACAAACCTATTTCTTTAA